GAGGATTTTGCGGGGTCTATCCACTTGTGCAATTAGTTGTATAAACATACGGAGATTGTCTTTAACTTAGGACTTCATACGATGATAAAGATATGTTTCTTTTATCCTCTCATCCTTTATTCGTTGACTTCGTTCACTCATCAAGAATTTATTCAGCAAGTATGCAGAGCTCCTACCATGTGTCGGGCACAATGCTGGTCATTGGTGGGACACAGCAAACAAGACAAGGATGTTCGTGGTCTTTGTTCACATAGCACTTACACCCTAGTGAAGGGAGATATATGATAAGCAAACAAATAAAGGAGCAAGACCATTTTTATAGTGATAAGTGCTATAAATAGAATGCAACAGGGTCTTGTGGTAGCGAATGACAAAATGTCTGAAGTATCAGACTTCTTGATAAGATGTTTGGGAAAAAAAGCCTTTCTAAAAATGTAATATTTAAGATGAGAGCTGATGGAGCAGGAAGCAGCTATGTGAAGTTCTGTAGATATTAAGGTCCTGAGCAGGATTTTCAATTTGACATGATAAAGAACAGAACAATGGCTTGAGGGACAAGAGATGCAACCCCCGCCCCGGAGCCACTAGCCATGTGAAGCTATTAAATTTTAAATTAATTTAAAAAATACATAAAAACTCAGTTCCTCAGTGGCACTGTGTTTCAAGTACTCAAAAACCTCATGTGACTGGTGGCTACCATATTTGACAGTACAGAGTATAGTTTCATCATTGAAGAACTTTCCGATGGACAGTGTTGCACTTGTGAAGTAGGAGAATTAGAATAGGAGAGGTCACCGAAGAGTGGTTTGCAAAGATCATGAAGGTCCCTATAGGTGGCCATGAGAACTGCAAGTTCAATGAGCCACCTTGAGATGGTTTTAAACGAGGAGTGACATCATTTGACTTACATTTTAAAATTCTCACTCTGGCTGCTGTGTAGAAAATGAATGGTAGCAGAGCAAGACCTGTTAGAAAGTTATTGCAATTGTCCTGGCCAGAGATGTCTAGATAAAAAATCATGCGTTTAGACACATGTCTTTGGTGGGTTATTATGAGACATGGTGAAAAGCAGATGGATTCAAGATATATCTTAGATAGAATCAAAAAGACTTGCTATTGGATTGGAAGTAAAGTGAGGTAAATAAAAGAAGGAATTGAGGGCATTACCGTCTTTTGGGGCCTGAGCAACTAGATAGGTGGTTATGTTTTCTCCTGATGTGGGAGGACTGAGGAGAAATAGTTTGGGTACGTGGGGCTTGGTGAAAGGGCAGGGAAGGAGTTGGAAGTAAGAATTTTGTTTTGCAAAATTATATTCTAGATACCCATTTGATATATGTGCAGAGAGGTCAGGTAGGTAGTAGGGAATGAGTAAACCCCTGCTACAGAGTATAAACTTTTAAAATTTAACAGAATTCCCTTGAGCATAACTATATTTGGCAAATGATATGCAACGGGGTTGATTTCTAGATCCTCTTCACAAAGTACTAATGGACACCGCTGCCGGATTTGGCTAAGTAGAGAGCTTTACCAAGTCAAATTTGAATTTTTCTTTCCATTTTCTGGAAAGTGGAATTATTATGTAAGGAATTATTATGTAACACAACATATATATGTTTGTGTGTGTGCGTCTGTGTGTGTGTGTATATATATATATATGTATATTTCGTTAGTCTCCCAAATAATGATAAATTGTTTTGTGTATGTGGAATCAGCATGCTTTTCACTTAAGAGTCTCATATACACATGAGTTACTAATGTTATCAATGAGAAAAACTGATGTGATGGAGAACACATCAACGTATAGTAGGAAAGACTTGAATGCTACTTTCCTGTGTGTACCACATTTTTCTTATCCTTTGGCTGTGTTGTCACTTTCTTGAATTAGGACTCATCGCTATTTGTAGAAAATGGGCAGTTTTATTTCTCGGTGATTACTTGATGTGCACGTTATGTCTTGGGTCTTCATTTAATATAATCTACACGGTCTTTGTCACTTCTTTCAGTATGGTGCTGTAGCTTTCTGCATCTCTCTTCTAATAAGAGTATTTGTTATTTTCGCTCATCTGCTTCCAGGTTCTGGATGGCAATGGGGATAAACGGAGTGATGGCATCTACCTTTTTTCCTTCATGTGGGGCAAATAGCCTTCTGGTTGTGATTTTTGTTGAGAATGGGGAGAAAGCCAGATGCCAAGACATCACCTCTGTAACAACATTGAACACCTCAAGAGTGTCAGTTTAACAGCAAATCGAGTGTTTTTGTTTTGCTGTGTGAACAAATGCCATTCTTATTTTTTTTCTGTTACAATTTTGTAAAATGTCTACATTCCATCTCCTACAAATTCAGTTATGATTTTTTTTTCTCTAAAGAACTGAGATCATTGTGGGGAGTAAGGGACAGAAAATAGAAATATTCTAAAATTCCCCTCACTATGCCTTTCCTTCTAACCTTGATACATGCCATAGTTTTCATTTTAATATGCTATTTTTGATGCTGATGGATATTAGCATGATTTTCCAATCAACGTTTTTCACTCTGAACTATTCCAGGTAGGCTCTGGCATATGAATCATGTATCGAAAAAGGAAACTCAGAAAAGTATGTGTGCATGCTAGGGGGCTCATTTGTCTTTGGCAAAGACATTGTTGCTTCTGTTTCCTTAATTATTAAACAGATGGTGCCCAGTGCCATTGACTAGCTGCCCAACTTGTGCTCCATATGATAGTACAGTTCTGGACATCTGATGGAGAGTTGTACATCATAGCTCCTCATATCCATTTATATCATAAATTAATATTAATACCTACCTCTAAGGAGAGCAGGCTGTTTTCCATGAAGCTAAGTTTAAGACTTCTGCCATCTTCCTCCCCTACCCCCAGGAATTAATTTTATCTCAGGTATGTCCTTTGGCTTTTCTTTATATTCATCTCTACACACAAAATATAGTGGCATACTGAACCAATTATCCAAATACTCCAGGCTAGAAACACACTTTAACCTGGAATGTCAAGATAATAATAATAAAACAATTTGGTCTTAATTATTAGTGAAGGCAAATGACATCTAAGGTACCCATATTAAACATGGATGAGAGTGGACTATCATACTCTTATGTTCTAAGTGTAAAAAGGAACTAGCTCCCAACATTGATGGATTTCTAAAAGCCTATTGAACAGATATTGAATGATTTTTCATACTCTGCCACAAAAGTTAGTTTTAAAATTTTTCTTTAGTTTCTCAAATACTACACTACTACAGTACATGAATGGTGCATCTTGTAAACATTCCTCACTAGGGTACTGATTTTTTTCTTACAAGCTTTCTTTATGGTAGACATACTTTTTCACAACCAGACACATCTTCTCAATGCTTTCCTGGTGTTAGCCTACCTAGCCTCATCTCCCCCCTGAGATTTCTTTTAATTCCTTTCTGGTTTGACTATTTAGGCTTAATTTGGTAAACCTTCTTGAGGCTATGGTCACTTAATGTATTTGCCGTCCACCATCAACAGCTGTTGCTAATACTCTCAGACCCTGGACTTTTTAAGTAACCATTTGTAACACAGGAATGCTCCCCCAGCCCTATTTAATAATGCTATTAGGGTCTTGGTAACTTGAGATTTTCCATCATTTGGAACAATAGGAAAGGCTTGCGTTCTCTGTTTCAAACAGACCTTCCAGTAGGAGCGGCTGAAGCATTTCAGTGCCACCTGAAATTGGTTTGCTTGTTGTAACTGACTTGAAAACTAAGAAGCATCTTTGAGTCACTGACAGTGGATGTGGCTGTCATTTTTAATGACGAAGGAAGTATGTCGGTTTCCACTGCCTGCCATGTAGCCAAGGACAATCTTTTTTTCTTAGCGTCCTAGGGAGCTAAGCCTGAGGGTCAGCCACAGGCCCCCGCGACCCCGGCTTCGGTAAGCTGGGCGGAGGACCGGCCTCAGCAACCCTTTCTCCAGCGAGCTGGAAGTGCGGGACCCGCTCCGGGGAATGGAGCAAAGAGCTGAGAGCAGCGCCTCCTCTGGGGGGAGGAGGCGGGAGCTTGGCTGGGAAAGCTTTCCTAGGGAGTTGCCTTAAAGAAAGCAAGCAAGCTGAATTGCTGGTCACTCCAGTTGCCTGCTTCTTTATACAGTTTTAACCAGTCGTCTCCACTCGTTTCCCTTTTGCAAAACTGCAAATCACCACCTACATCGCACCAAAAAGAAGGGGAAAAAAAAGTAATTCTCATTCTCCCTTCTCACCCTCCCTTCCTCTCACCCTCCCTTCCTCTCCAGCTCGCTCGCTCTCCCTCCCTCCCTTCTTGCGGCTGCCGCTAGCCTCTCGGACTGTGTCTCTTTCCGACGGGACTTAGCAACTTCTCGGTTATTTCTCAGCCCCATTTCCATTTTTTCCCCCCCACCCTTTGCCATGAGCTGGACCGACAGACGCAGGGGAGGCTTTGCTTTCTGCCCCGGGGAATGGCGGTTCGCTTCCTGGGGCCGTGCCGGGGAGGATCGGCCGAGGAGAAAGAAAGAGTGATAGAGAAAGAGCTGCAGGAAGGAAGAGAAGGGGCACCTCCGTCTGCCGCGGGCCCTGCGCGCAGCAACGCTGCGCCGAGTGGCGCCCGAGATGGCCCCGAGCTCGCCCTGCGCCCCCGGCTCCTCCAGCTTCTGCACCCCCCGTGCGCCGGACGCGTGGGGCAATCTCTAAAATCCTGAAGTAGCAAGAGACCCCGGAGGATAGAAATCGGGGGGTGGGGGTGGAGCACAATTTTTAAGAGTTTTTCAAAGAGCGAAAAGGAGGAAGTCTGATCGTTTCTGCGTGTGCTAGCTTTTAACTTGAAGGCGTCTCTTTGGAGCATCCAGGATTCTCCAGGAGTTATTGGAAAGCTGAAACTTGCGGTGGCTTGGGGGCCTGGGGAGAAGGAGGGATTCCGAGGGTGGGATTAGGGAGAGAGTGCGTGCGTGCATGTGTCGGGGTGGGGGCGTCCGGGGGACCTTGGGGATTCCGTGAGGAGGGCACACAATGGCAGTGCCCCGCGAGGCCGCGCGAGTCGGGGACAAGCCCGGCCACGGTGGGGTGTATCCAGCCCCCGCGGCGGGCCCGGACTGTCCCGCTGGCGCCGGCCCCGCACAGTCGCGGGACTCCGGCAGCCACGGCCGTTGGGGAGACCTGGTGCTGCAGCCGCTCCGGCGCTCCCGGAAACTTTCCTCAGCGCTGTGCGCGGGCTCCCTGTCCTTTCTGCTGGCCCTGCTGGTGAGGCTGGTGCGCGGGGAGATCGGCCGCGACCTGGAGCAGAGTAAGGAGGTGGCGGTGGCGGTGGCGGCGGCGGCGGAGGAAGCGGCCCCGGGAGCAGAAGGGGGCGTCTTCCCGGGGCTTCGGGGAGGTGCTCCTGGGGGCGGCGCGCCGCTCAGCCCCTGGCTGCAGCCCTCGGCGCTGCTCTTCAGTCTTCTGTGTGCCTTCTTCTGGATGGGCTTGTACCTCCTGCGTGCCGGGGTGCGCCTGCCTCTGGCCGTCGCACTGCTCGCCGCCTGCTGCGGGGGGGAAGCGCTCGTCCAGATTGGGCTGGGCGTCGGGGAGGATCACTTACTCTCGCTCCCGGCCGCGGGGGTGGTGCTCAGCTGCTTGGCCGCCGCGACATGGCTGGTGCTGAGGCTGAGGCTGGGCGTCCTCATGATCGCCTTGACTAGCGCGGTCAGGACCGTGTCCCTCATTTCCTTAGAGAGGTTCAAGGTCGCCTGGAGACCTTACCTGGCGTACTTGGCCGGCGTGCTGGGGCTCCTCCTGGCCAGGTACGTGGAGCAAATCTTGCCGCAGTCCGCGGGGGCGGCTCCGAGGGAGCACTTCGGGTCCCAGCTAATTGCTGGGACCAAGGAAGATATCCCAGTATTTAAGAGGAGGAGGCGGTCCAGCTCCGTGGTGTCCGCGGAGATGTCCGGCTGCAGCAGCAAGTCCCATCGGAGGACCTCCCTGCCCTGCATACCGAGGGAACAGGTAAGCACTGGCGAGCTCCTCTCACTCGCTTCTCGGGAAGACTTGAAACGCTGGGGATTCGCCACAAAGTGGAGGGAATCCGAGTGCTGGGAACTAAAGGAAAGATAGTCTAGAAAAGTGGTGTAACTTTAGATTCAGTAGGAAACTAGAGAGTTATTTTCTGCGTCTCGCACGGTATTTTATAACCTGAACAACAGAAACAATAACAAGGAACAAAACTAGATGGCATTTGCAGGGTCTTCCACACCTGGGCCAACTTTTTAGATCTGCTACACCTGGCATACGACTTCCATACGCTTAGGTGCACTCCTAGTTTTCTCCTTTAGCAGAAATCCTCCAGTTTAGCTTTTTAGCACTGGGTGATGTTTCAACACGTGGATTTTACTAGGTTTCTTTAATACTTTTTGTAAAGTTTCTTCTGAAGTGCCAAGTCAACGTCTCTGGAAGTCAGTATATAGATTCTGAAGTAAAAGCAAGGAATGCTTGAAGGTGAGGTTCTGGTTTTGCAGTAAGTTTTCCTTGAAGAGGCTGCATCTGGTGGTGCCCAGCTTGTTTTTGGGGACATACGTTATTACATGCAAATGTGTTTTGTATCCTGATGATAAACTTCTATTTGGGGAACAATATGTCTGAACTGCGGAATTTGTCAGTCTTGAACTGCGCTGTTGGTGTCAACTAAAAAAAAACAAAACATTTCTCTTGAGTATATACTTAAGTGGATGTTTAGAAATTCAAATGGATTTATATAGATTATACAGGAAATGTTAATTCAAAAGAATAATTACAAGATTACTGGTGGTATAAATCTCTCAGAAAGGAAGAAGAGGAGGAATCTAGAATTATGAGTGAAGTTGTCCTAGAAAAAAGTTTAATGAATTTTGGGGATGAATCTCTTTATTAGCAATAAGTGTTTTAAGGCCATGGAATATAGTTGTTATAAAGGACATAAAAGAACAAATCCCAATTTTTAAATACAAATTGTTTCTCAAAAGGTGTACCTAAGTGTTTGCTTCTCTGCTCCAAACAGATATGACACTTGGGGGTGGGTGGGGGTTGTAGAGAGCTGATTATGTTCAGCAAGTGGAAATTTACACTTTTCCCATTTAAATTTATGCCTATCTATGGCCCTATTAGGACAACTTCAGTGAGTGGGAGAATGTCCTAAGATATAGTAAGCTTTTTTCTTTCTTTCTTTTTTTTTAGGTTATTCTGTGGAGAATCATTTAGATATTTCTAAGACATAGCAGTCACCATATGGTGTGGTGGTTAGTTTGTTTTTGAAATGGAGTTGATTACACGGAATGTAGTTGTTTGACATTATTTAACAGAATGACAGCATCATAGCCTCTGTGTTTATTTTAAAACTAATGTACTTATTTAGCTTTTTGTTTAGATAAAGCAAATATTTCTTGGGTATAAGCTTACTCTAAGTGACGTTAAAAACAGGCCACTGACTGATACTTAGTTTTGGTAGAAATTTGGAAATCACCAGAATAAAGCTATCTACTGAAGGGTAAACCCATAAGGGGGAAAACAAAGTTTACTTTCTTTTCAAAGTTTCAGGAGAGAATGTCTTTTCAAATGAAAACACTGCTGGTTTAATTATGTTTAGAACACTTTAACTTAAAAGGGAATGTGATATGATCACTGCAAAGTTGAACCATAATTTGTAAGGCAAATCTGTGATTTAATCATAAATAACTTCAAATTAATATCATTTAGCCTCCTAAATTTCTGAAATTCCATGTAACTTTTAGAAGTTAAGGACTTAAAGGTGGATTTAAGATAAAGTGTTTAGGTGAGTTAACCAGCAGTGTTAATTAATCTGCAGATATTTATTGGTTTTCTCTGGTTTGGATCGATAAATGGAGAAGTCAGATAATCTGCAGATTTATAAGAAAGTAACCGAGCATTGCATTTTTAAATGTTTTGCTGATTAATGCTGTTGAAAATGCACATTTGTAATTTTTTTGGTCATTTTTTTTGGTCACTATTTTTTTTTTTAAAGGCTGTGTTTATGAAGAATGTTCTAAAGTGAGAGACGGTATCTCTTATGGTTGATGGAAAAACAAGGTTACATTTAGCGGAAATTTAGATCCTTGAAGTTTTAATGAGGGCACCGGTTAGCATGTGTGTGTGTGTGTGTGTGTGTGTGTGTGTGTTAAGACCGGTTTTTATATATGGCCCATTAAAGTTGTTGCTGAGTATAATTGTGTTGGGGGGGTGGGAACTAACATGGACTAGTCTCTTATAAGATAGGGCAGTATCTCATACGTTAGCCTAACTGTGTGAAAAGTTGAGGAGCTATATAGTAAATATCTTATCTGGTTTATCATAAGGAAACAAACTTCTGGGTAAGAGTGCAAAGTGTACACTCTCATCTACATACTTTATGAAGTCAAGAATCAAAATACTTATAAAACACGTATATAACCCTGCCCTGCATGCTACCTGATTAGGAGTTCTTTTATGAAAGATTGCCTACTTTCAATTCAAGACAATACTCAGGCAACAAGTGAATTTTAAATAGAGGTGGAAGGACTTAAATCACAGAAAGTCTGGAAGAGGCCTCTTGAGAATTTATGGACCTTGCTCATTGTGAGGTTTAAAGGTGAGAGAATTTCAGCCTTTTCTTTGTGTGAACGATAGTGGCCACTTACAAACTACCTCTCTTCAACAACTCAATTCTAAAAGGTCAAGGAGAATAGGTGATAAAATTCTCATAAGAGAAAGCAACTGACAGAGATATTTGCCTCCCTTTTTGCCTTCCTTCCTAAATCATAGTGAAGTCTCTAGATTGGATATTGCGTATGGAGTGAGTTTTGCAGTGTGGACGATAAGGATGGCTTTCAGCAAAGAAAAAAGAAATAGGTCTAGTCTTCAGTTCCAGAATTCATCTGACCCTGGGTCTGTCTGTGAACGGAAGTGAATGTATCTTTACTCTTAGCAAAGAAAAATTTGTAACATCTGTATGACTTTTAGTTGAGTAGTACCAGTCCAATATTCTCAAGACTCAGGCTGATTTTGTAGATCAGTGTGTCAAACTGTAGTTTTTATGGTGGGTGGACATGTCCATTAAAGTGTATGTATCTTTTCTAAGTAGATGTTCACATCCTAGAGTAGGTATGTCTCTCTCAAGTTATCACTATACCATCTAAACACTGGACTATACAGAGATACTTAGCATTTCTTGAATTATTAGATATTTTGTATGACTAATAGATATGTTATTTTTTAATTCAAAATTTTAATTATGCAGTTTTTACCATTTGGATATCGTATTTGAAGGGATGTCCCTATGCTCTTTGTACATCAAAGAACGCAATTGGCTGGTCATTCCTCACTAATTACTGTGAACCACCTTGCACATTCATCTTTGAAAGATTCCAAACCAATGCCGTTTTACTTTAGAAACATGTTAAGAATTTAGTAGTTTTGCCTATGGTTTTGCGTGAAGTAAACACAAGGTATAGGTCTCTCTCCATTAATGTGTTTCTCCCACTTAATGACAAAATTCTTTGTGATGGATACATTATCTGGCAGAAACATGCAGCTATACTTCGTATTGTGTAACTAAAAGTCAAAATGTTTTCCATAAATATTTCCCTAAAGCTCTTAATTAAACATCATTAGCAACCATAGATTTTTGTAGGAATGTAATGGAGTCTGATGGTTGGTTATCCATAGAATCAAGTTTTTCATCATTGATGTAAGAAAGGTATTTTCAAATGAAAAAGCAAATAACAATAAGACAAATATAAGAAATAGGAATGCTTTTTAATGGTAGACACATAATAGGCCTTGTTACATCTTCTATCTGAATAAGTATAACTTACATTTGTACTATGGATATAAAATACAGAAGTATTTCTTTTGAAAGTAAAGAATCTATTGTCCTTAAGTTACTAAATACATTTCAGTATAACCTACTGTATTTCTCAAATTGAATAGATTTCAGAAACAATCACAGGTTTTTAATTCTATCACATTTCAGTAGTATAACTCAGCTTAGGGTGATACAAAGAATGATATATAGAACTTGCTGACAGAATTAAAATTAATGTCAACTTCTGAAAACACTAAAAAGAAAAAAATTCTTATCCTTTGGGAAAGGTAAGGGAAAATAATTTTTTTTGTGTGTGTGTGGGGACAAAATTGTGATTTTTTACTTTGTATATACAGATATTTAAAGCATACTGAAAAACTGTCTTAACTGACAGAAATAGTCAGTGAATCTATATAAATTTACAGAGGTTGGAAGGAGTCAAACAGTAATTTTACTCTTTCTGTATTGAGTCTAAAGTGTAAAAAGTTAAAACTGTAGAACTGAAAGAAATGCTGTGTATGCTGGGCTGTCATGTTAATTAAATAAACAACCAGAACAGTGACTCTGTGTATGAAATACATTCTGAAAAGCCTGGGCAGGGGGTGCAGGCAGGCTAAGGTGAGTGACACTGGCATGAAAAAGCATTCATTGTATCTGTAGTGACATTTGTGTGAATTTGTTGTATTAGGAAATAAAACTCTGAGAACAATCTTTGCAGGACTCTGGTTGAGTAAAGGCTTTACCAAATTTAATTTCACTCATTTAAATAGGATTGAAGCGGGATGTTTATGAACCTCAAAGTTAGAAATATTTCTGTATATTTTAAGATTTCAGTTAATAGGGTTGGTGCCAGGAACATCCCAATGGAGTCTATGTAGACTTCATCGAAAACTTGTGTTACATAATCTATCAAAAGAATGAGTTTATCTTGGATTTAGGGCAGGAGTTGTATTTTTCAGGAAATACTGTTGTTGTGAGATGTAATCTCATGGATGTATGAAGGTAATCAATGAAACTGTTGTATCATGTGGTATCCTAAGAGATTTTGACATGCAGACGCAGTGCCATTGCATAGGGCAAGTGTCTTTGGCTTCTTGAAATTACCCATAACCCTACATGTTTGTGGTGAATTGTTTATTTAGTTGGCCTTCTGTCTCCTATCCCGACAGAGTCT